TTAACTACTTATGATGATAGCCTGGACCAGCGTGCATCATCGGTGGGCCGTCGGGGCGGGCTGGTCGGACTGCAAAATATTGGCTAGTCTAGAAGAAAGGCCTGCAGAACATTTTCTCCGCTGCAGACCCGACGATGCGCTTGGATGGTGCCACTCGCCCCACCTCACTCCAGTCCACGGTCCTCGTCTCACGAAGAAATCCGGCGTCTTCATCGGCAATGCCTAGCCAGGCGTTTGGGGTACAATCCGTTAGTGCCCTTCCGCGGTCGAGGACGACTGATTGTTCCTTGGGTCAGGAAGAGGGCCTTGAGCTGTCTAGGGAGTCACTCAGTGGTTGCGATGAGCCGGTTGACGAGTCACTCGAGGGTTGCCTTGGCAGTTCTGGTGGTTGAGTTTCTGGAAGGTAGAACTCAGAGGGCTTGGAAAAAGGTCGGGGGAGTGGCTTGACGCCGGAGAGGGAACATGGCATGCATGATAAAAGCATATACGCTTATTAGGTTTCCAAAGTGTTTTGGATTTTTTTGTCGATTTTGCAAAACGTTTGGGGATGTGACGCACGATTACCACTAAAGATGAAAAGGCGTATTAATGGAAATAGCAAACGTTTAAAAAATAGGTAAAATGTACTGGACGTTTAAGCTGTTTACCGCGTCAGTCAAGCCTGCGTTTGAGGCCGAATAATTTGAGGGTATAGGAGAACGAAAGGTTTTGGGGTACCCGGTGCTCGGGAAGTCACCGCAGATGCGGGTGCTTGTGTGATAGCATCAGGATGGGTTGCAAGTGGTTCAGCAACGAAAGTCACTTTGAGGCGGTAGATGGACACCGTTGTTCGGTGACCATTCTGGTCTAAAGTGGAATGTTTCCGAGTCCGTTGCAGGACTCTAAGTGGGCCAGTGTACGGAGGCTGGCGAGGGCGCCACACTGCGTCGGTGCAGAGGAAGACGTGAGTGTAGGTAGAGATTCCGCTGTGCATTTGCACATCTCTAGTCTGCTCACGGGGCGGAGTCGGGCGGAGTGAACGCATGCGTTGAGCTAGGGAGGAGGCAAAGTTAGGCGGAGGCATACCCGACGATGTGGGAGACGAAACGAATTCTCCTGGTAACTTGAGCGTTGTGCCGTAAACCAGCTCTGCTGGTGCACATTGCAAGTCAGCTTTGATGTTGCTGCGAATGCCTAAGAGTACGAGCTAGAGTCGGAGGAGGCGCATATCATGGTTATGGAAACATACAATTAAACCGTTAACTGTTGGCTGATACGCTGTGGTATGCATGTGGTGGCAGCCTAAAAAGTTGCAGAACGCACTGAAGTGTGAGTATTCGGAGAGCTTTTTACGGTCATTTGTAATGGTGAATGGGCACCCGTAGGGCGGGACCCACCTATCTAAGAAGGCCCGAATAACAGTCTCTGCTGTGCAGCCTGTTACAGTAATGGCTTCTGGTCATCTGGTGAAGCGGTCGACACATTTAATAACGTATACGAATCTGCGTGAAGGATGCAAAGGACCTGATAGGTCTAAGTGTACATGCGAAACAAAGATTCCGGGGTGGGAAATGAATCAAGAGGACTGGGGGTGTGATGACGTATTTTGGAGTGCTGGCATTGAAGTCAGGCGCGAGCTCAGGTACGAACATTTGTGTTTACGCGTGGCCAAACCAAACGTTCGGTGACTAGTTTCAAAGATGCACGGATACCGGGATGTGATAGGGAGTGCAGTGCATCAAAGACTGTGCGTTTGAAGGAGACGGGTTTGAGGAGTCTAGGACAACCTGTGGAAGTGTCAAAGAGGATGGATCCTTCCGTGGTTTGGAGAGGAACAGGTTGCACATGTAGCGAAGTGGACTGCGGAGTGCGTTGTGTGCCTTCATCTTGAGTCTGAGCCGATGCCATGACGGCAAGGTTGACGGTAGGCAAAGACGGGAGGGTGAGGTCGACGTGTAAGAGAGCGTCGGCGAGGGGATTGACGACACATGAGACAGGCCGTATGTCAGCAGTGAACTGCATGACAAAGTCTAGGTGTCTTATTTTGCGGGGTGAGCTGAAGGCAAAGTTGAGGGGATTATGGTCATTGTAGACCTTGAAAGCGCGGCCTTCGAGTGTGTGCCGGAAGGGACGAATATCTAGGCAAGTAGCGAGCCGTTCTTTGCTCACCTTGCTCTGGCGGGATGGCGCTGACTGCAGGCGTTTGGAGAAAATCCCAAAGGTTACCCTTGCCCGCAACGTCTATCAGTCTTGATAGAAAGAAGTGCAGTCGATTCGGAATAAGCGAGAAGAGCTATGGTGGAGATATCATCCTTGTGCTCGATGAAGGCTGTCTGTGTTGTGTCCAGAAAAGCGAACTTAGTTTCGTTTCCTCTGAGTAGGTCATTCAGAGGCTGAATGAGCTGAGTGCAACGCGGAATGAAGCATCACTAGTAGTTCACCAAACCACAACATCGAAGGAGGTGCTTAAACGAAGTCGGAGCTTGGAAGTCCTTGATTGCCTGGATCTTATAAGGATGGGCTTCGCTACCAGACGATGAAACGAGTTGGCCTAGGAATTTTACCGTTGATTTGCCGAGTTCACACTTAGTCGGGTTGACTGTGACACCGTGTTAGGTCAAGCGCTGGAAGAGAGCTCGAAAGTCGTCGAAATGCTCTTCTTCCGACGAACTGGCTACTAAAATACCACCGAGGTAAGAGTAAGCGAAGTCTAGGCCACGGGTGATATCGTGGATGAGGTGTTGGAAGGTTGGTGAGGCGTTGCACAGTCCAGATGACATCCGTAAGAATTCACGCAAACCGAATAGAATGATAACGGCTGTTTTAGGAATGGCATTTTCTTCTACAGATATCTGGTGATAGGCGGGGACCAGATTGATCTTGCTGAAGATCATCTTACCTGTGAGGCATGAGGTAAGGTACTGCAAATGTGGGATTGAATACCTGTCTGGGTCGATTAGCCTGTTGCGTGCGTGGTAGTCACCGCAAGGGCGCCAGTCACCAGATTTCTTAAGAAGCATCTGCAGGGGAAAGTAGCAAGCGCTGTCAAAAGGGCGGATTATTCCCAGTTGGAGCATGTGCACAAACTCTGCCCTAGCTACCTTAAGTTTCTCGGAATATAATCGGCTTGGACGGCATAAGACTAGTGGCCCATTCGTCCGTATATGGTGCTTGACTTGGGATGTCACGGGCAAAACTCAGTTCATTGGCTGAACGAGCTTGGAGTACTGGCAGAAGAGATTGGCGTAGTCTGTCGAGGTCTGGGGAAAGGCGTACACCGGGGTGCTGGATGCGATGTCGGCGGTGATGCCACGTACACTAAGTTTCGTTGCAGTGACGACTATCATCTGGCGTTTCACATAGCCCAAGAGGTCGAAATTCCTGATCACGTCAATACCGATGATGGCAAAGGGGACTGCAGCAACAGTGAACATCCAGCGGAACGTGCACCGAAGACCTAGATCCAGGGTAAACGAACGATGACCTAGGTGGCTACTGGCGTGCCATTCGTGTCACTTATGCTTGTCACCGCAGAAAAAGCTGGCTCACTTGGAAAAGGAGGGATGTGGCTGACTTCCGGTTGGGTACCAACTACGAACTGGGTTTCGGGATCATAATCCCTAATGTAGGTGAGAAAACTGTGGGCTTTGCTGACACCGTTAGTCGCCATTAAGGGTTGGCCTGAAAGTTTCCATGCTTCGCGGCGGAGAAACTGCATGGTTGCTCACACTTATTGGCCTTTTCATCAAAACGCGAGTGGTAAAAGCAAAGCCTGATTTGTTACTCTTTGTGCGAAGGGGTGATAAGCTAGAGCGGCTGTACTGCTTACGATCTTAAGAGTGTTTCTCGGATTGGCGTGGTAGTGACGCTATTTGCGATGATAAAGCGTCGATTGCTGATGGCTTACTAGTGGCGGATGTCGCTGAGGCTGGGATGGTGCCAAATCGAGGGAACGTCCTAGATTTCTTCGTTGGCTGATGTCCTTAGACGACACGGTCTGCTAGATTTACAACTGCCTCGAGAGGCAGGGCGTATGCTACGGCGAGAATGATCTGTGTGTTTTCCGGGAGACGTTGTATCCACATTTCGCGCGGGATCCAAGCGTCCATGCTGGATGTGCCTAGGAACTGTTGCATCTGTCGCAACAAGATTGTAGGCATTCTGTCCCCTAGCTGCAGATCCCTAAACAGTTGCTGCAGTCGGACCTTGTTGAGGGGCGAGATTCGCTAAATGATCACCTAATTTAAAGTCTCCTATTTCGCATCGAGAGGGGGCAAGCTATGATGTCTCTCACCTGGGAGGATACACTTTGCGGAAGCCGAGACATAACGATGATATATAGCGCAAGTAGAATAAATACCACAATTGTGAAAAGTGGATTCTAAATGTACAAACCATAATAACGGGTCATTCTCCCAAAAGGTCTGGAGGCCAGCTCTACAGCACTAACTACGTACGTAGATGGTTTATCATTTGAACTATTTTCCGTGATGAATGGATAACTATATGCATCAGGTGAGAAAACAAACCGATAGCGAGTAATGAATCAAAAAGTCACTGGAACGAGCTCACCAGAATGAAAATTCAAAATGGCGGACGGCGTGTTCTGAACCGGAGTTGCCAATTGTTGGGTGACGCCTGGAATAATAGTCGATTATCAATGACACGTATGAGACACGTCAAATACGGCACAGTATAGAAGTTGGAGGCGAGTGAACTCAACATGTATTGTGTAGGCTACAAAAATTGGAAGCGAATCAGCCAGAGCGCGAAACGATGCAGCAAGTTACTCACCAAAACAAGTTGTGTCAACGGAAGTGCCGTCAATAAAACAATTGGATGTTTTGAAGATTAAAACAGCGGTAAAATCCATTGTTGCGAAATATTGAAAAGACATGTTTTCCGGTACACTACAAGCATCATTTGCAACAGCAAATGACTCGAATATTACTAAATTAATCAATAATGTTTGTGTGTTCTTGCTTAGTTTATGCTTTGGCTCTCCATTTCATTCCTCTTAGGATGGCTTGCTTTCTCGTATGCTGTGTGATCGCTATGATAACCGGATATCGTGTTCACATTTGGTTGAAACACTACAATAAACTGGCGCCCAAGATGATGATCTCAGCTTACGATGGATTGCACCGGGACCTGCCATTTCCAATGGTTAGCGTATGTAACATTAATCCTACAAAGTAGGTTAACTTTCTGTAAATTAACATCGGCTTTTTATGTTCCTGCCATGTTTTTTAACAACATGCTGAAAATGTGGTATGACACAGTATATATTAATTGAGCTATTTAGCTTCATTGGTGCCTACTTTTGACTATTATGTGTTTTGTAACAAGCACTAAAGTGTTAAACTTTCGGAGCATAAATGGATAAAACGTTGCTACAGTCTAAATCGCAAACATTAAGGGAAAAATGATGAAGTTGAGGCAGTATAAAAATCGACTTCATTTTGCTCAGTTCTAGGGACATTAGATTAAACTAAGTTGGTTCATTTCTTTCCTGGTTCAAACGAAGGATTTCCTTTAACAAAATCTAGTTCATGTTAAGTCACTGACCAGGATGTTGCTGCTTCCAACCCATTTTTCTATATCAGTGTTAAGCAATCGCAGAACCACCACTCCCCTCCGTCTCGGTATTGCATCATTAGGTCTTCGGTTTTAGTGCTTATTGTTAATGACTGCGTAAAATGTCTGCTGCGGCAATACTGCGTACTGTGAAACGAAATGACCATAATTCTCAAGGGAACGAAGAAACCTCGGGCGAGACAGTCAAATCCAGGTCAAGTACAAACTGCGAACTATGTAACCCCCGACTTATCCGTGCACTATAATGAACTTAGAAGCTCGGTAATAATCCTGTGAATTAAATCTGACCTGTAAACGAGCCACAGCGCAGCCAATTCAACGAATTACACTGAACCACACGACAGCCATACGGGCAAGAGCGCACATTCAAAGAAGTGCAATCAAATTTCAGATTTCAATGAAAACGCATGAGGAATGTTGCGAAGGAATTTGCTCTCGGAAAGATAAAACAGTATGTTCCAAACCAGTACAACTTCTACTGTCGGCGTAAGGACCACTGCACAGTCAATGCACTCGTGGTTGGTGCTTATTCAGCTGCTTGGCTTAAAGCAGCTGCGCATGATTACCATATATATAACCATAAATTCAATGAGAACGATTCAAAACAGTGCCATAACCCTACTCGAGAATGAGTAACTCCATACCCCTTACACACAATTTGATAAACGCTACTACTGTAGAAACTGTATTTCTGTATCCCGTCGACCCAAGATAGCTGCACGCGAGTAAGCGTTGTCCTTGCTACTTGTATTTGGTTCTCTCCTATTACGTGATCAATAACCACTCCCCTCATGGCTTTTGTGCGTACATTCTAATTTCAAACCCTTTATACGGCAGTGCAGTTAACTCTGTAATCGCCCGTACCGAGGATTCCATTATCCCTTGATCTATCTTTTCTCATTCTAATCACCCTACGGGACATGTCAAGCATCTGCTTATTTTACCCGTTATAAATCAGTTTGTTCATTGTTCATCTACCCGTTCATCGAACGGACTAAAAGATCCGCACTGCGCACTTCAGTTTTATTCTGGGTTTCCTCGTGGTTAAGCAGGAATGTAAACATGCCAGCTATATAGAATTCACCTCACATTGTTGTGTAGCAATAGACCTTCCATCAGTGCACTAAATGCATAGAATCCATCCCAAAACAGGATAGCTTAACCAGCATATAAAATGTTAGTAGCAATAGTTTAAAATGTTAAGCATAATTAACGTTCAGCTACGAAAACAACGCTAACGAGATTTATCAATTTTACTCATTACTGAGAGCAAGCCAAGTGATTTCTTCTCACTGACCCCATACATTTCGCTCCGATTTGCATCCCATCAGATGCGTTGAGCACTCATGTAAAATGGCTTTCTTATTTATTTATTGGATGGGGTCAATTAGAGGTGGTTGGTTTTGCTACTCAGTATTCTGGTTGAGGTCATCAGAATATGATAACGGCTTAAGCTTACTAGGAAAAGCTTTCTCAACGCATTACGAAGTCATAAGACCCAGAGCACTTCTCTCCTTTTGATGTTAACTGTTGTGTTGGTTATTCTGTTGTATGATTAAACTAGCTCGGCTGTAGGCCTTCGAATAAATTGCCTGACACTCTAGGCCAATGAAACGCATAGAGCAATCTACTGCATGTCAAAGCCAAACTCACAAATCTAATACGAGTTGTTGGCTACCCGAACTCGGAACGCTATGGCGAACCCCCAATAGTTAGAGTGAATTTGGAACCGTTCATAAATGCAGAAAGCGTTTTACTCTCAGTAGGTTTTCCACACCACGGATCCTACGGGATGTACATTTATCTTGATGTCCCTTAGCAAGTGTACTTTTCGATCGAAACAACTCTGAAGAATACAGTAGACAAGGTCTCGTAGGCACAATCTTCATCCATGTCCTGTCAGTGAAACCTTTCCACGACAACCAAGAGAGTGAAAATCACGAGTTGGAACAGTTGCAGTTCATTTGTAAAAAGCTTTCCTTGGATAGCGCTATCGGATTGTCCCAAAAAGAGACACCTTTCTCACCAAAGTATAAAAAATGCGAACCAAGTGTACTGAGACTCGCAGTTCAAGCAGTACAAACAGCAACGGAATTATTAGAACATTGACTGAAACTTCGGAAATGTCTTCCATCTGAAACCCAGTAAAATGCAGCTGCTGTCTTGTAGAGATCAGTCAGGAGATCGTCCGAACAAGTAATCCTACCGGTGATTACACAGGAGCCCACTTGACCGCTCTTTCGCCCAACTTTGGAGCATGTCTAACGAGAAATAGAACGCACCGTAGCCCAATCCAGCTGCGGTCTAAGTCTTAGCAATCCATCAAAAAACGAGTGGCGGACGACCTCATAATGAGCTGCCATTTTTCACAGCTAATTTTGCTAACCCCATCTGGGCTCTCAGAGACTGAGAAACTAACTTGAATGTCTGCCGGTGCTCAAGACCTTACTAAAAAGCTGGCTGAACGAAAAGACCACCAAGTTCCCAAACGACGTGATAGCATCGTTGTTAATGAGACGGCTACACGCCGGAATGAAATATGCTGAAGGCTCGCTACCAAGTACGTCGCTCATCTGAAACTGTGAGTTCACAAAAGGATAAGGAGTACTGTTGTATTACCGAAATGACCCTAACTGCTTGGCCATATAAGATTCGGACTCTCTTATTCATAGCTCACTCTGGTTCCATCTTCTGCCTTGTAACCCTGGTGTATCGCCCTCTAACTCTACACCTGAAGTAAACTATCACATACACACTGATACAAGACATAATCTAAACGGAAAATACACCCACACTCTCATGGGTGCTTTCAACGTACATTATTTGTCAAGCCTCTCACGAGTGGATAATAAACCGGAGCCCGTCTACAAGAGCTCAGTGCATAGGTTCGGCTGTACAACAAGGTCATCACGCTCACTTGGTTCAGAACAGGTAACAGACCATCTGTGATTTGCACACCAGCGAGGAACCTGCGATTGATGTAATAATTATAGACGGCCTTTTGGCGGCAGTCATCATTCGGTCGTTAGTTTTAGTTTCATCCGCCAAGAAGAATATCCAAATTTAAAATCTAGTTTAGAGCACACTTTTACGCCGTTCGACCTCTTAGCCCAGTTGGTCAATGTCACAACCTGGCCATTTCTCGCCTAAGACCCCGGGTGGCCGCTTGTTTGGGATTTGTTTGTTGACTTTCTGTGCTGAGTAAAGGCACCTCAGATGCTAAGCCTTACATCTGGCCCATATCACTCTCTTTCGTAAAGAATGGAACACGGAAATGGTTAGTAGTACGCAAAAAGGCATGGTACTCGTGTAGAGCATCTCGAACACCAGCTGCTTGAGACACCTAAGTAACCCGATGGAACCACTGCACTCAGCTGCACCTTGTAGATAACGTGGTATATTAGCGAAATATGGCAAAACCAGTTCCGACTATAATTTGCTATATAAACGCGTCGATAGGTTCCGAAACGTGGAGCAGGGATTTCCTCCGATCTGGACAGCTGAAGGTCAATAAGAATGACTACAGAAATAGCAAAGGCACTGAAGACGCAATGTATCACCACGTTTTAGTGGGTCTTCTCAGTAAACAATATTCCAGCTTGGCTGTCCCCTGGTCAGGAAGTACCTACACTACTTTTGCCGCTGAAGCTGTATTACGAACTCTGATGTGTCTGCGTAGCCACAGACCCTCTGGAGAGGATACTATGCACCCCGAAGCACTGGGAGCAGCCACAAAGAAATGGTACGTAGAGGAGGAACAGGTTCCTGCCATGTGGAAGGCTGTGGTAATCGCTCCACTCCCCAAAGGGAAAACTATGGTCCAGTATCCTTTTCCCAGGTCCTATCCAAAGTCGTGGAGTAAACCACCGTGGATGTGCTGGTGGTCTGTATGGAAAACTGCAACATTGTTGCTCCTGTTTTCGCCGAGAGCGAAAGTGCACGGAGAAGTTACTATTAGCACCAATTAGTTGGACCGAGTCAACTAACGCTGGAGAGGAGATTCACATGGCCTATCTGGATCTTGCAAGACATTTGATCATATAGTTCAAAGGGGTAACATGGAATATTACGCGGGTAAATATAACTAAGGGAATTGGGTCATCAGCCCGTCGCCAAAAACAATTAATAACAAAGCATATGTACCAAAAGATGCAACTGACTACCTAAGCGCTATTGACTAGTCATCAGTGCCTAATCATTAGTGAGTGGTCAGTGAATTAGAGAATTTTCGGTGAGAAATTTTATTGTCTAAAATACGAGTACAAGCCTGCAAAGCAGCGCAGCTAGATGGCGCCATTGTCGGCTAGTTAATTCATCGTTGTCCTTTTGAGTCAGAGTCGTTCGCCGGGTTGATGTACGGTAGTGTGAATACTAGGGTGGGAGCGTAGATAGGTCAGCCGACCAGGTAAAGCAGTGAGCGAATGTTTACAAAGTAGAAGGGACAAAACAGGCAATTAGTGTTCAGGATGTGTCGATACAGAGTGGTGGTTGGAAGCTGTTATCTAGGACGGACTTGGAATGGATGGTTGAAACAAATGAGAAGCCACTGATATCTGTTCGTGCTCGATCAGGGGGCACACAACAAAGCAAGGAACCG